TCTCTCTCTCTCTCTCTCTCTCTCTCTCTCTCTCTCTCTCTCTCTCTCTCTGAACCAGAAACTCACCGTACCATGTGGCATGCCTTATTTGACATGTCTTCCATCAACTAGTGCTGTCTATGTTCCCTTTCCTTGAACCAGGATGGAACATTATCACTTCAACCAACAGAACACATTGGAAGTGATCTGTGAGGTCTGAGGCTAGAACTCTGAAATTCTAAGCATTTCCATCGTGTTCTCTTGGAATGTGCCTTAGGTAGGGTTTCATTGCTGTGAAGAGACACCATGACCCCTGCATCTCTTATAAAAGAAAGTATTTAATTGGGGCTGACTTACAGTTCAGAGGTTTAGCCTACCATCATCTTGGCAGGGAGTATGGTGGAATGCAAGCACACACGGTACTGGAGAAGAAGCTTAGAGTTCTATATCTGGATCCTGAGGCAGCAGGAAGAGAGAGTGATCTGCTGTACCTGTCTTGAAGTCTCAAAGTCCTCCCCCTGTGCCACACTTCTTCCAACAAGGCCATACCTACTCCAACAAAGTTACACCTCCAAAAATGCCACTCTCTATGAGTCTATGGGGGACATTTGCATTCAAACCAGCACAGGATATTCCATGGATCCAAGGTGGCATGCTGTGACAAAATCTACAGAAACCCGCAGAGAACCACATGGAAAGAACATGCAGGTAGTTTGTTCCACTGTTTATTTTAGGTTCTTACTAACAGTCAGTATCTACAAGACCTACCATCTTAGGTTCTTACTAACAGTCAGTATCTACAAGACCTATCATCTTAGGTTCTTACTAACAGTCAGTATCTACAAGATCTATCATCTTAACAGTCAGTATCTACAAGACCAATAAAGATACAGATAACTCCAGATGATTCTGTTTAGTAGGTATTGATTGACCTCAGTCTGCAACTCTAATCATGGAGCAGAGGCAAATAACCTTTGCTCTGAAATCTTGAGTCTCAATAAGTGTTTAAGAGATGGTTTGTAGAGGCAAAAAACCAAAAACAACCTTGCCCATAGCTTGTTTGTTTAACTGCTGTGCTTCTTTCTGGCCACCAGAGGGAGATATTTGGTCAAACAGACTGTGCCCCTGGAAGCTTGCAGCTCCACAGCTTGACATTAAATTTTGCTATCTGCTGTGACCATCATTGGTGAATTGAATCTTCATTCACACACAAAAGCTCTCAAACTTCAGGCGAATTAGAAGCTTCCTCTGTGTGACATGGTGAAGGAAAAGCGTCAGAATAAAATGGAGTAGATTCTATTTCCATGACAGAAAGACCTCAAGCATGCCAGAAACACAGAGTACAACGTAAGTGTTACTGGGGAATGTAGGTTCCATTTTGTGATTTTTTAGTTTGATTGATTACAGAATTTAAAACAAACAAATGAAAGAGAAAAAAAACATACTCAGAAGGAATGAATCCCAAGAGTTTTTGAGAGAAACAACAGGGCAGGCAATCTGTTAATTTTGTTAATTTTGACAGCTGAATTGAAGAGGGAACTGGCGAACAGGAAGGGAGAAGGTAACACCCTGAGTTGAGCAACCACCTTTAGAAAAGAGGGATGGTCTTCAGACAAAACAGAAAGTCCATAGTGTCTAAGCAAGCATGCTTAGAATGGTGGTTTGTATCAAACAAACAAACAAATGATGTAGAAGGGAAAGAAAAGGAAAGTTAAACTTTTCAAAAAGATGACAGCAATCCTAAGAGTGTTTGCATCTCAAGAAATCACATCCTGAGGAATTGGGGATGTGAGGAAAGTACACAGGGAAGAACTTAGTACTCCTGAGTAGGAAGGAGCAGGAAAAGCAGATAGTGGTTCTAAGAATCAAGAAAGGCAATCAGTTGGCTTCATGACAGTTTTATGCAAAGTATTTGGATATTGAAAATTCATGACAGTGAAGGGCTTGGAGTAGAAGCTCATATGAATAAAAAAGACATAAGGATAAAACCACAGTCAAGATGAAGGAAAGAGAAGGGGAGAGACATCATACTCATAGAAGAAGAAAGCAAAAAATATAAATGAAGTGGTTGTGGATGCGTTTCTTGTGAATGCTTATGTCAATGTAATAATATGCTCGTATTTTAGTTTAGTCTTTGCCTAGGAGAATGTGCTCATATAAAGCTATTATGATCATGTAATGCTCATTGCTTTTAATAAATACTTAACCCTTCCAGATTTTTTTTTCTTAAAAAGTCAGAAAAGTTTTCCATGGCTTTAGTTGCCACTGAAGTCCATGGGGATGACTGGCGTCATGACAACCACCTGAGTCCATGTTGGTGTTCAAGGGCCATATTGTTGCTGGGACAATGCTAGTCTGGGTGGCCTGTGATATCACCCAGGGCCATGGTGGCATCTTTCTTGGAGCTGCAGCTGAAAGTCATGTCTCAGTTCATGGCCCTGTTGTGTCCAGGGTCTGTTTTAATGCCCATGATTCCACTGAGGACCTCCACAAGCAGCCAGGTCTGACTAGTTCAACTACCATTCAGGCCCACGGAAGGGAGGGCCTTGAGTTGGCTAACCCTAGCTTCTACCCGATCTATGACCTACAAGAGCATGTGATGGGACAGGTCCTGTGGAACAATGCCTGAATGATCTTCGTGACTCAGGGCAGCCAAGGGATATCCAAGAGGAATTTCAGTGAGGATCCAGTGGTGATAGTACCAGAAACTAGAGCCCTTGAACCAGACCAATGACTTATTTCAATGAACATTTGCAAATAAAGTTGATAGGACAAAAATGTGGACCATGGCTCCCAATGCCTCTAAGACAAATGAAGAGGTATTGGCAATGTGGGAAAGATAGAGAAACCCCACTAATTAGCCATAGAAAATCTGCAGTTTAGAAAGGTTGTTATTGGGTCAAGGCCTAGTAAACAGAAGACCTGAGATTTGTTCTCTGACCAGCTAACCCCAGAGCCCTTCTAGTTCTGAGTTAGACTTTTATTTGTCAGGGAACATGAACCATCAGTATTTTGGGGGAAGGGGGCAATGTGATTACTAGCTCAAAAGCCAAGACTGGTATGAGTTCCATCAGCTCTATTTATTTCTTTTATCCCATGTGAAAACTCCAGCCAGCCACTCACTTGTCAGATGACAACCAATGTAGCAATGCCCAATACAAAATCAACTTTTAGGTCTTGCTTTTAACAAATCATATAAAATATACAACTTTATTGGATTCATAAACTTGAATTGGGAGCACTTTTAATTTTAAAAAAAATCTATTTTTACATCAAGTAAAATATCGAAGGAAAACAATCTCTGGAAAAGTTCTAGATGCCTCAAGGGAAATTTTTGATAAGATATACTTCTCTTTTAGTATCAGAAGAGCTGAATGACACAGTAAAATCGGATGATGTGCTAATCTTAATTTAAATTTTACTGCAAGTGTCCTAGGAATTAACAATTGGTGTGGGAGAATTGTCTGTAGTCTGTCAATTAACGTTTTAAATAAACACTGATTGACCGATAGCCAGGCAGGAAGTATAGGCAGGAAAACCAGACAGGAAGTAGAGGTGAGGCAATGAGAACAGGAGTATTCTGAGAAGAAGGAAACTCTCTCCCCAGTCCTGCCCAGATCACGGAAGAAGCAAGATGTGATCTGCCTCACTGAAAAAGGTGCCAAGCTATGTGGCTAACATAGATCAGAATGATGGGTTAATATAAGTGATAAGGGCTAATAAGAAGCCTGAGCTAATGGGCCAATCAGTTTATATCTAATGTAGACTTCTGTGTGATTCTTTGGGACTAAACGGCTGTGGAAACCGGGCAGGATAGAAACCCCAACAAGTCTGCCCCTCATGTTACAAACAATACTTTTTATAATATAATAATAATTAATAATAATGAATTAATAGTCTTTTAAAATAATAAAAAATCTTGCTTGAGAATAAAATGTGTTTTGTATTTTGACATATGTATTGTTTTTAAAAATTACAGAGAATATTATGAATTCCTTTCAACTCTGCTAAAAGAAAAAGGCTGCTTGATAAGGTAACTTAATTCTTCATGATATGGAGTAAGCATGAATATTTGCATTTTAAAAGTCATAGGCCATTTAAGGGAAAACTTCCAAATGTGATAAATATCACTGGTTTGATTCTACTTGCTTTGCAAATTTAAATTCATTGTAATTCCCCATTGATTGTAATGATGCATACCTTTGCTGGATCTTTGATAAAGGATCAAATTTTAAAGCACTTTCATGATTTATATTTATTTATAAATGGTACTAATAATTTTAAGACAGTCTTTCCTCTACCCTTTTGTTATAAGAGGTCAGTAGATCTCTCCCAGACTCATGACTCTACCTATTATCTTCCCTCCAAAGGTACATCTGAAGTAGAGGCATCCCCTGATGCTATGCTCTAGATCATTGGTTCTCAACCTTTGGATCATGACCCCTTTGCAGGTCAAATGACTGTTTCACAAGGGTCACCAATTGACCAATCTACATATCAGATATTCACATTATGATTTATAGCAGTATTACTGCTTTAAAGAAGCAATGAAAATAATTTGATGGTTTGGGTTACCACAATATAAAGAACTGTATTAAAGGGTCACATAGTTAGGAAGGATGAGAACCCATGGTCTAGACTGTCATTCAAAACACATGTTGCACCCTAACTTTTAATACTGCAGAGTATGATTGTTTTTGGAAATAGAGCCTTTAAAATTGACCATTAAATTAAAATAAAATCACAAAGGTATTGTAGCAGGAGAAATGGGCTGCGTGTCATCCTGGCTGCCTGGCTATCTTATACCCAAAATAGTCACACAGAAACTGTATTCATTTAAATACTGCCTGGCCCATTAGCTCTAACTTCTTATTGGGTAATTCTTACACCTTAATTTAATCCATTTCTATTAATCTGTGTATTGCCATGTGACTGTGCCTTATGGCAGGATTCTAACCAGTGTCCATCTCAGGCAGGAGATCCTTGGCATCTGCCACTTTGTCTTTCTTCTGAGAATTCAGTCCTGTCTACTCTGCCTACCTAAGTTCTGTCCTATCAACTAGGCCAAGGCAGTTTCTTTTTTCATTATCCAGTGAAAGCAACACACAAACAGAAGAACTCCTACACCAGGGTATGCCATGACTCAGGATGAGTAGTGTCCTTAATAAGACTATTTGAAGGCACTGAGAAATGATGACTATCTGCAAGCCAAAAAGAAAATCCTTGAGAGAAACCAATCCAAATAATGTTCCTCTTCCAAGAATGAGAAAATATATTCCTTGTTATTTAAGTCCTTTGTGACTATTAATCTCAGTTGCTGTGGTTGTTTGAAAGAAAATGACCCCCAAAGGGAGTGGCACTAATAGAAAGTGTGACCTTGTTGGAGTAGGTATCATCTTATTGGAGGAAGTGTGTCTCTGTGGAGGTGGACTTTGTGGTCTCTTTTGCTCAAGCTTCCCTCAGTGTGACACTCAGTCTACTTCCTGTTGCCTACATATTAACATGTAGCAGCTCCTTCTCTAGTACCATGTTTGCCTGCACACTGCCATGCTCTCCACAATGATGATAATGGGCTAAACCTCTGAAACTATAAGCTGACACCCCAACTAAATGTTTTCCTTTATAAAAGTTGCCGTGGTTATGGTGTTTCTATACAGCAAAAGAAACCCTAACTAAGGCAGTTGCCAACATAATGAGCCCCAGAATCATCTGGACATGCTTGTGGGGGCTTATCTTGATTAAGTAAAATGAAGTTTTTGTTTGTGGTTTTATGTGTGTGTGTGTGTGTGTGTGTGTGTGTGTGTGTGTGTGTGTGATAGGGTCTCTCTACATAGTTCTGACTATTCTGAAACTCAGTAAGTCTAGGCTGGCCTTGAGCTCACAAAGACCCAACTATCTCTGCCTCCCAAATGCTGAGATTAAAGACATACACCACCACCACTGCAGGCCATATTGATGTCTGAGGTACATGCTGCCTCCAGAGGCCGTGTTGATGTCTATGATCCATGCTTGCCACTGGCAACTATGGGCAAGGAAGTATTTTTGGCAGTGATATTAAAGACTGTGACTCATAAGTGAGAATGGGAGACCTTGAAGTCTTCTGTGATAAACTCTCATGCCCTCCACCAAAAACATTGAAGAGAGTTCTTAAAACCTGTAATAAAGATGCTGAAGTGCATCTCCTTACAGTTAATGGCTTCTGGAAGAGAGGTTGCAAGGGACTCAGTTGTCTTTAAGGAACAGGCCATTGGGAGTTTCACAATGCTCAAATGGGAATAAGGGCAACACAAATTGGACTTGTTTGTTTTTTTTTTTTTGTGGGGTTGTGGTACAAGGGTAGGAGGGTGGGCCTGGGAGAAATGGAAAGTGAGTGTGATAGAGTGCATGATACAAAATTCCCAAATAATAATCTGCGGATTAGGTAAAATGAGATGGGGAGGTTTTCCCATAGTAGGTGACACCATTTCTTGGATGGGATCCTGGACTGCATAAAAAGAAGAAATGAACTGAGCCAAGGCGTTTATCATTCCTATTGTCCCCTGCTTCATAACTGTATGCAACATCACTAGCAGCCTCAAGCTACTGCTTGATTTTTTTCCCACAATGATTACAGTTGTACTGCAACCATGAGCCAGAATTAGTGTATCCTTCCTTGAATAGGTTTTGCCAGTATATTTTCTCACAGTAATAGACATGTAACTAAGAAAAATGGTAGCAGGAAATGGGGTCATTGCTATGATAAACCTGATCATTTATTTTGGTTCTTAAGCCTTTGGAAACAGTGTGCAGGAGGAATGTGAAAGAGCTTGAAACTTTGGGCTAGAAAAGCCTTTGAATGAAAATAGAGCTTAATGGATCATTTTGGTAAGAGCTTGAAAAGGGAAGAATGCTCAGAAATATATACAGTGGAAATACAGACTAGTGGAAAACTCAGGACAGGCAAACATTCAGCTTGGTACTGAGCAAGTGGCTATAATTGTGGAGAAATCAACACCACTGAAGAGAAACCTTCTGTACTACATTGGGGCACTAGAAAGTGTCCTGAAGGCACCCATAGGAGACTCATGGAAGACCCAAATTGAGCTCAAGGGGTTCCCTGGATCCTCTAAGACAACTACCCATGGAAGTGCTTCCCTGGGGTCAACAAACAGAAGCTGATATAGCCGTGGCCCAAGCGGGGGGGCAGACTACATGTGATATTAATTTTGTAAGTGTGCAAGATATAAGATTTAGGGGGTTCTGGAGACCTGTACCAAGATAATGTGGGTCAAATTCTCAGCAAAGAGGCCCCAAGAAGCCACCAGGTGGAGCTGTGAAGGCAAATGAAGAAGCTGTGAAGTTGCAATGAAGACTTCAGGATATCAGAGATGTATGCTAATGAAAGGTGCAGACATGGAGAGGACTGCCGAAGAGAGGCTGAATGTACTCTGGGTGGCAGAGTTCGTAGTGTGAAGCCACCTGAATCTTTTTGGAGAGCAGCCATTTCAATGTGAGGCCCAGACACTGGACATGGAGCTACAGTAGTTAGTCCTGATGGATTTTGATTTTGTTATATCCCAAATTTTCCATTTTGGTATGGGAATATTTATTCTCTGCCTTTCTATGTTGGAAATATGTAACTAGGCTTTTTTTTTGTTTATTGTTTCACAGTTAGGTTGCCTTGAGTCTCAAATAAAATGGACTTTTATTTATTTTCTTTTTTTACTTTGGACTTTTAAACTGTTATAATTGTTAACAGCTATGGAGACTCCAAAGTTGGATTTTATTCTGCATTACAAAATACAGATGGGAGTTTGGAGACAAAAGATGGAAGATTAATGTTTAAAGTGATGTGCTTATGTGTTAAATTCTAAAAAGACTGACCCTACCTTCAGTCCACCAGAAGAGTTAGAGAAAAAGGTTTTCAAGGGAAAATTGAGGAGTTGAATTGTGATAGTCTCAGTTGTCAACTTGATGAGATCTGGAATAACCTGGAAGATGGGCTTCTCGCCATGCATGCGTGACATTATGTTGATTAAGTTAATTGAGATGGTAATTCAATTCACTGTGGGGGACATTCTAGGGTTCTTGGTCAGCTTGTTTCCTAAGGCAACAGGTAGCAGTGGAGAAATCAAACATCACAGACAGCATAAGCAGATGAGAAAGGTGTTGATTGTGAGCAAGGAAGCACAGGCGTGCAGAAGACACACAGAGGGAAAGATCCTCTGCCATGCAGAGGGGGAATTCATGAAGCCGAGACATCCTGTCTGTTCTTGATGGCTGTTTTTTTGGTTTTTTTTTAAGTCTTTGAAGAATTATTCTCCCTTTAATTTAGAGTTGGACAGTTTGAAGAAAGATGGGAGTTTTGATTGACCCACAACTTGATGGAACATGTTCTGATCTGTCCTTAAACCCTTTGGGCCAGTCCATCAGCAGGGGGTTTGCTGAGGAGGAAAGAACAAAATGAAACAAAGCAAAGCAAAACTTCAAGGCTTTTGTTTTAACCACCAGGCTTTTGTCAGGAGGATAAGGAAGAGGCTGGCCATCCTGGAAATTCTCCACCTTTATAACTTAGCTATGGCACCTCTCTTTATCTGTCTGCATACCAGAGAGTCTGCCTAACTCCTCATCTCTCAGCACCGTTCCCTAGAATGGGATCCTGATCTGTAGAAGAAAGTGAGCGGAACCTATGAGAGATCTTTTTGAAGTTGATGAATCTACTTCTAATCTGGTGGGAAGACACACACCTTTAATCCGGATCTTGAGACAGGAAGACACACCTTTAATCTGGGTCATAACTCCTGATGGAAATCTATATAAGTATGTAGAGGAAGGAAGTTTTTTCTCTGCCTGCTTGCTCTTGTCTGGCTAGCACAGCCGCTGCTCCATTGGCATTGAACTTCGTTAGGGCTCCAGCATATACTGAAGACAGCTGAAACATCCACCCTTATGGACTGAACAACTGCTGGATTTTTGGACTTTCCCTTCACTTTCCCTTTGTTGGATTAGCTGAACTGCAGGCTGTAACTCATTCCAACAAACCCCACATAAGTTCTGTTACTCCAGAGAACACTGACTAACACAGTCTGTATTCCTAGAAGAGTTCAATGGCCCTAAAATGAGCCCCTACAATTACTTTTCCTCTTTATACCTAGGCTCCTTCAGGACTGTTCAGCATGATATGTTATTTCCTTTTTGCATGACTGCTGTTCTCCTTTTTAAAATTGTTTTTATTACTTGTTTCTTCCCTTCTTCAGTGTTGTTTTCAAAAATTGTCAACATGATTTTTCTGAAATACTTATTTTTATACCGCTTTCTCACTTAACAGTATCCAATATCTTATTTCACATCAGGTGAAATAGAAATATTTGTGCCCTATATTCAAGATTTGTACTACTTAACTTTTCTTCAGTTATTTTTAAATATTTATAATGTAAATCATTTTAATTTTAGATTTATGCATATGAGTGATTTACCTGCATGTATGAATATGCACTGTATGCCTGCCTGGTGCCTATGGAAACCAGAAGAGGGTATCAGATCCCATAGAACTGGAGTTACAGATGGTTGTGAGCTGGGAATTGGGTGCTCACCCAATTGGTGCTGGGAATTGAATCCAGTTCTATGCAAGAGTAACCAGTGCTCTTAACCACTGAACCATCTCTCCAGCCCCTTTTCTTTGTTATCATGCCCATTTCTTTCACTCATCCTTGGTTACGTTGGTCTTGTCAGGTATTTTCCTGATCTCAGTTTCCTTTTTTTTCTCCAAGCTTAGGGTAGACAGGCCAACAGATAAACCCAACCACATACCCCTCCTCAACACACACAATGTTTCTCCTCTCAAAAGAGGTGAGGGTATTTCTTTTGCCATATCTTTGAGCTTCCTCAATCCAAATTCCATATTTAAAAAAAAATCATACCCCCAAAGGATCTGAAATTGGGTTTGATCCCACAGTGATCTTTATAGTCTTGACATGTTAGAACAGTAGTTCTCAACCTGGGGTTCAAATGACCCTTTCACAGGGATCTCCTAAGACCAGCCAGTATATCAGATATTTACATTATGGTTTATAACTGTAGCAAAATTACAATTATGAAGTAGCAATAAAAATAATTTTATGATTGGGGGTCACCAACATGAGGAACTATATTAAAGGATCTCAGCATTAGGAAGGTTGAGAACCACTGCCCTAGAGCTAGAAGGGACACTATTTGTTCTGGCCTCATATCCATTTGGGAACTACCTCCCTCCCTAAGTATTTTTGGGAGATTCATTCTTCTCTCAACTCGACATGAAGCATTTCGAAAAGACTAACCTTCTACCTTCAGATCCCATAATAAGTTAGGGGGGAAAACTTCCTTTTGAGGGAGTGGAGGCAGCAATCATATGGGATAGTTTAGCCAACTGAGACTGCTTGGTCTGGGTTATACACACCTTCCCTTCTAATAATGTACTTGGAAACCTAGCTCCTTTACGTGCAGTGTACTCTACACACTCTACCTGAAAATGTACCTATTAACCTTGGACCTTCATTCACATCTAGCCACACATATACCATTCTGTAATTATTCAGCCACAAATAAGGCTGCACTTCTAGGTTCTGGAGCCATGCATGTGCAGACAAGCCCTCAGGCAGAAGTGTCTGAATGTTAAAGGGCATGCATGACCCACGTGCACGCATGCGTGGTTACATCCACTATGACTCAGCCCTTGTGCACATGCGTGAGCCCGTTATCTGCGTATGATGTAGTCATGCCAACCCTCTGTGCACATGTGCTAGGCAGCTTTTAAAAAGCTAGATGCACCATCATTCTCTCTCTCTCTGCACACCGATTCCCCTGGCCTGTATAGGCCCCCTCTAATAAACTCCTAAGCGGGTTTGTTGCGTGTTCCATGTTTCCTTCTCACTTGTGCCAGGTAATTTCACCTTCTATGAACAATGTGATAATTTTTTGTTCTACAAAAAAATGATCAAGCTTAGTTTTTATTCAAATATAATTCCAGTATATCCAGGAGCAAAGAATGGAAGGTCAGATCTAGCCTGAACTCGATTTGTATGCATACACACCAAGACAGAACTGTGTCCTCAAGTAAAGATTTAGGGAGAATCCCCTATTTACCATCACATATCTTTGCATACTTGGGCATATATGTGCTTGAAATCAGATGCATTGTGTGTGCTGGATAGTTTTACATCAATTTGACACAAGCTAAGTCATCTGAGAGAAAGGAACCTCAGTTAAGAAAATGCACACCTTTAATCCCAGTAGCACTCAGGAGGCAGAGGTAGGTGAATCTCTAAGATCAAGACCAGCCTGGTCTACAGAGTGTATTCCAGGGCTGCCAGTGCTACACAGCAAAACCTTGTCTCAAAAAACCAAACCAAACCAAACCAAACAAACAAAAAGAAATCATCATAAGACCAGGCTGTAGGCCAGTCTGAAGAGCATTTTCTTAATTAGTGCTTGATAGGGAAGGACTCAGTGTGGGTGGTACTATCCCTGGGCTGGTGGTTCTGGGCTCTATAAGAAACAGGCTGAACAGGTCATGAGGAGCAAGCCAGTAAGCAGCACCCCTCCATGGACTCTGAATCAGCTCCTGCCTCTACCTTCCAAGTTCCTGACTTACTTTGATGATGAATAGTGTTCTGGAAGTGTAGGCCAAATAAACCCTGTCCTCACCAATTTGCTTTTTGGTCACGGTGTTTTGTCACAGCAATAGAAGCCCTAACCAAGGCATTATGGGAAGGTACATTTACATCAGAAAAATGATTATGTGACTATCCATCAGAATAGAGAGCTGCTGGTGCTGCACCCCTTTAATAAATAATCCCCTCCTTTTGAATTCCGTCAAAGGATGCCTCAAACAATAACCAAGGCCTTGAATACTTTCTCAAGCATGTGACCTGCTGTCAATATTGATAGTATATTTCTTTCTGATTTGTATTATTGATTTGCTTTGGGATAAAGTTTCTTTTCCGTATCAACCCTTATCTCAGTCCTTTGAATAGGCCAGCAACTGAGATCCTGCCTCTGACCACTCGACATATAATGATAGCGTCTTTGGTTGTGGAATGAAATAGAACAAACCGAACTTTGTGAGGATAGAAGTGATCTTGATCTTCTGGTAAGACAGTTCAAATAAGTTAACCACTCGGACTGCTGGTACATACTTGTTCCTTGAATGATCTGAACAATCCCTTTATCATGGTCTAGATATAATGTTATGACCATCCAGAACTTGTTAAGTCATCACAAAAGTATGCTTTTCTTGCCATTGCTGCTTATAAGGCCTTAAAGTTATTGAAATATGTGTGTTTCTGCCCAGAAAATCCACTTGGCACTATTTCCCCTCAAGGTACCAGCAATATGGCAAAATGAATGTTTGAAGATTGCTGTCTCATGAGGGAACAGATTAAAGTTCTTTTCTTCTGTGATGGTGGGTGGGTGCGACAACACAGTGTTAATGCCTGTTCTTTTCTCACCCTTCTGAACAGAGCTCCCGGGTTTCAGTTCAGCTCTAGCTGATAACATCTCACACTGCCTCTCAACTTGTTATGATGCAACTAAATTCATGGCATTGGGTATGGAGGGAGGTATCTAAATTGCTAGGTTGGGTGTTTTGTTTTGTTTCTTTTTAAGAATAAACTAACATCCCTTTCTTCCTGATTTTTCTGTCCTCCCATCAGTTGGTATGTGATTGCTAAGGTCAACTATCTTTCACCAAAGCAGAAGAAGACCAATACACTTGGGTGGAAAAACAAGAATGTAGAAAGAATGTGGAGTAATGACTACAGAGGAGCTCTGGACTGTTAATATACAGAACTGTTAGACTGAAGAGGAGTTAAGTGTCTTGTTTAAACTATGGTTATTCTTAGATCCTAGTTCAGTGGCTCATTACTACAATGGGTGATTCAAAAACACTTTAGGTTTCTATAGTGTTAGTCAAGTGATATAAACAAGACAAGAAACATACTTTTAAAGATATTTAATGATCTGTTTTTCAAATCAGTACAAAAATTTAAATACAAAATTGATTTGCCATTAAGTCTCAGATCTGTTCATGGAAACTCAAACAAGTTACCAGTCTTCTCATCATTCTTTGTTTCTGTAAAATATCTGAGGACAATTATCCTCTACAGACATTCTTTACCCCTGTGGGATGCCACACTACTTTAAAACTCTGTGTTTAAATAAGAACAATGCCAGTTTGGTCCATTTCACATGGAAAAGCTCTAGTTAATTTTGAATTAAATAGGGATCATTAGTGTCCCTAGACTGTAGAACATAGAGTTGTTTCACCTGCTTTCACACTAATGTGTTAACATGATGTACAGCACTCCAAAGGGAAACACGGGTACATAGATAATTACTTAAAACTCTTCTTTAAATTAAATGGAGTATCATTTAGCTCTGATATTAGCACCATGGTAGAATATACAGTATCTGGCATAGATTTTGCTCCTCCTCCATTTAAAAGTTTAGAAGCATATGCCTGATATATATGATAACACACACATGCACACACACACTCACACACACATGCACACACACATATAGGCAATTGAGTAACAACCAATAAATAAGTTGGAAAATATCTCAAAAAGTGAAATTTGGTTTAACTTAAGAGACAATTTCTACCTTTCTTTGTGGAGACTAAAATACCATACATGTACAGATAAGAGCAACTTTATGATGCATCTGGCCCAACTGTCCTTCAAATCATCTCAATGGAGCATTTAACAGAGATTCCCAGGGACCCCTGTAACTTCCAGTCATTAACTACAAGCCAGTGTCCTCAGGAGCAACCCAAAGGACAGCTATCCACAGAAATGCTGTTTGCTTTGCAAGTGAAGGCTAGGTAGGACTCCTTTCAGATGTGAAAGTGCTTTGTACAATGAACAGTGAATGAGAAACCTTGTGCTAATGAACTCATTTGTCTTAAAATTTGAGGAAAAAATGGAGCTTGTGTATCATAAAAGGAAAAGACAAATATTAAGCCAGGATAAGAAAATTTGTGGTGGTAAAATAATTCAGATTTAGAATAGCCCATGTTTTATAGTGTATTTATTTGTGTCTTTTCCAATCTATGTCTGTCTCTTCAATTCCTGACTCTTAAATTCCAAGGAAAGGAGATTAGATCATCGTTGAAGCCCCACGTTATTTCCCCAAACAACTAACAGCAAATGAACGGGAAACTTTCACTGTTTGTGTTTTGAGCAGTGTCCAAAGAATCTAGTATGTGCCTTAGTGAGAATCGGAAACATTTCTCTCTTCTTTCAAATCTGTTCCGGCTGTGGTGCTGAGTGTGTGGTGACATAATAGGCATGGGCTCCCGTGCTTTGTGACATTCCAGCTACCTCTTCCAAAGGCTGATGTTAAAGAAACGGTCATTTCCCTACAACATTAGTCACTATAGCTGGAAGCAGCACATCTGCTATTAAATATCAAGCCTTTTAATTACTCTTTTAAAATTAATTGTTTTCACATATAATTCTAAACTTTTTTTCTCAAATTAAAAAAGTGACTTGGATTTTGGCAGTTGACTTTGGAACCTCATAACATAAATCATATTTTTAAAATTCATAGTTACTGGTAAAAAACACAACTACAAAAACATTTACAGACAAATTGAAACCATATTACCATTGGTTATATGGGCAAATTAGGGGGATTTTTAAAAAATGCATGTAAACATAACTGATAATTGCTTTTAATACTAAAAGTTCACAAAGTGGCAAAATTATTTGAGGAAGGCTTTTTTAAAAATCTGTTTATATTGTTTAGGTTATATTATAAATTATAGGAAGGAAGAAGAAGAAAAAGAAAATTAGGTTCCAGAAAAATGCCAAACTGAAAATCTTTAGGTGAGTTAATGCATTAACATCTCTGAACTAAATTCTGAACCCTGTGCACTCTGCCCTGTATCACATACTAGAATCTCACCCAGTGCTCGACAAAGAGAGTGCTGAGCAAATATGCAATGGGCCATCAGCACATCTGCTCCTCTGGGGGAGACCACAAACACACAGTTCTGACTAGGTAGTTCCGCAGCTAAAAGCTCAGCCTCTGACATGGAGAAATAGCCTTTGGACTAGAGATTACCATGGTCTTGGCACTACAGAACAACTCTCCAACATCCCACAGCAAAACATCTGCACAAATAGAGAGGAAATTATGCAAATAAATACACTATGTAACTGTCACCAGAAACCTCTCAAGGCATATTCAAAAATACTTTTTTCAAGGGAGCACAAGGAATGAGTGACTTTCATTAGCTATGATCATCCAGACTGACATATTTTGACTGATTTGAATAAGCAGGTTATGAAATCATATAACGTGCAACAGCTAATATGAGTCCAGTGGGTACAACACAAATGTCTGTACTTGATCCATAAATCTGTCCCATCATTCTGTTACAATCTGCTGTGCACAGTATTAAACATGCATCTTAGTTTTTATTTGTACATGATGGTCTAAACTTTCACTTAAAAACAACTTTCCAACTATTATAAGTGTTTAGAAGCATTGTTTATAATTGGATTTTTTGATGTGTCATTTTCTTTTCTTCTATTAAATCTCTCTTTTTCTTTCCTTCTTTCTTTCTTTCTTTCTTTTTTTTTTTTTTTTACATGGGATACAATAAATATCCTGAAAAGGAGGAGTGGACATATTGCCCGGCGTACAGTCCGGCCGCCTGTTCTGAGGGCATTTGGAGGAACACCCGGTCTCCGGGCCGGAGGAGCAGTACTGCACTCCCAGAAGCCTGGTCCAGAAAGCCCTTCTTGTACTCGTCGTATGTGTACATCATGGGCTCGTTGTTCTTGAAGAGAGCAACCCACACGTTGCCTCCCTTGCAGTGAACATGGTAAGCAAAGTAGTAGACACCCGGGACTTCACAGGTGAAGATGCCCGTCTGCGGGTTGTAGTTCTGTCTGCCGTTGTAGAGCAGCTTGTCAAACTTTACTGGGGCCCCCACCGGTGGGAAAGGTGCAGTCAGCTCTGCAGTAAACGCAGGCATCTCATAGGCTGGCCCACCATTCTTGCCCTTCTTGCCCGCATAGGCATGTGGAGGTTTCACTCCATCAATTCCTAGTCCCATATCTGGCAGATATTCTCCCTGGGGTGGTGGTGTAGGGGGCATCACAGCTGGGGGTCCTGGGGGCCCTGGAGGGCCTGGGGGCCCAGGAAGACCAGGCTGGCCCTGAGGCCCAAGGGCACCAGGTTTCCCCGGGGGACCGTGAAGGCCTGCCACTCCTGGCTTCCCTACTCCGGGAAATCCAGGGGGGCCTGGCATGCCTGGTTCTCCTTTGGGGCCCGGAATCCCAGGTGGTCCAATAGGGCCACTAGGTCCTACAATCCCTGGAATACCTGGGGGCCCCTGTAGACCCTGATCCCCGGGTATGCCTGGTTCTCCTTTGGGTCCAAGAAGCCCCGGAACTCCAGGAAGCCCTGGCAACCCTTTGTGACCAGCTTCCCCCTTGGGTCCTATAGGACCAGGCAAACCTCTCATGCCAGGGGGACCTACTTCACCAAGAAAACCTGGCTTCCCAGGAAAGCCTTGGAGGCCTGGCTCACCCTTGGGACCTGGTGGACCCTGTGGTCCTGCCACCCCACCTTCTCCTTTGGGTCCAGGGAAACCAATAGCACCTGGTGGCCCCATGGGCCCTGGCATTCCAGGTAGGCCTGGTTCTCCAGGAGGACCTCCCACTCCAGGAGCACCTACTGGTCCTTTTTCCCCTCTTGGTCCAAGAGCCCCAGGGACACCCCCGATGCCCCGGTCCCCTTTGGGTCCTGGGAAACCTGGCTTTCCAACCCCTGGGAGGCCTGGGGGTCCAGGCAACCCTGGCAGTCCTTGTTCCCCTTTACCACCTGGAAATCCTGGCTGGCCAGGGATCCCATCCTGGCCCGGTTTTCCAACTCCAGGCATCCCGGGAGGTCCTTGAACTCCTGGCACACCGATTAGACCTTGTGGGCCAGGTTCCCCTGGAGGGCCTGGCTTCCCCAGGGGACCCTGAGGTCCAGGAAAGCCTGTCACTCCGGGTTTTCCCACTCCTGGCAGCCCAACTGGGCCAGGAGGGCCATGCATACCTGGAGGACCCTTCAGACCTGGCAAGCCTGGCATCCCGAAGCCCTTCTCTCCTTTGGGACCCTGAAGACCCGGAGGTCCTGGTGGTCCTTTAGGCCCTCTTTCACCTTTTGCTCCTGGTTGCCCTGGTAACCCTGGCCCACCCGGTTTCCCGATGCCTGGAAGTCCATGAGGTCCTGGAGGTCCTTGTGGTCCTGGGATTCCCATAGGCCCGACTTCCCCTTTGGGTCCAATTTCACCTTTTGCTCCAGGCATTCCCATGGCTCCTGGCTTTCCAGGCATCCCAGGCATACCCGGCTTTCCAATTCCTGGATATCCCTGTGGTCCTGGTTTTCCTTTGATTCCAGGCATTCCATGACCTGGCAAACCTGGTGGTCCAGGTGGTCCTCTTGGTCCAGGTTCTCCACGGGGACCTTGTTCTCCTCGCAAACTGGCTAAAGGTATTTCTCCTGGAAAAGTACAGAAAGGAGCAGGAGAGAATGGTTATCCCTTATTTGAAGGAAGTAATAGTAGTCATTTAATTTGAACACATTTGCCTGTTATGTATCAAAAGGGAAGACTAGAGATAATATGCTCATCTTCCCAAGCTTTCTCCTGTACGGTACCAGGATTTTAATCAAATCAAGCTGCCAGGTTCTGCGATGTGTCTGAGTTGTTGGGAGAAATTCTTATATTCATATACTTGTGTCAGCACTGGTTAAATTTTAAAAGCTGAAAAATAATCAAACAAAAAATTTCCATGTGCAAAAGTTGAAGATACCATAGTGTGTTCATACAGAATTTGGGAAGGTTGGAGTTGTGCAATAAAAGAAACAACAACAGATTGCCATTGAGCCCACATGGCAGAGGTACGGTATTTTCAGCTCACTTGTTTAAGGTACACATTTGTGTGTATTTCAGAGAATGCTCGAATCATACTCTGTTTTTATTTTTTAAAACTGTTCTTCTTGAAATTATATTGTATTTTTCCATGACTGTCTTATCAATTGAGAGATTTCATTATAAATTGACAAGTTACATGGTGTGTTTATGGGTTTCAAAGTATACAATTTATGAATAAAATGTGGAATAATTAAACCATCTAATCAGCATTTCTATCACCTTACATACTTACTTTTGTGGGTACAGCATTTGAAGTTATTAGTTTTAAATATATATTACTAACTATATTTACCACATTTGGTAATAGAACTAAAAATAAATAAAACAAAATCAAAATCATATTCTTCCTGCTTGCCTGAGGCTTTGAATCTCTTGACCATTGTCTTCTCCATCCATTCCTCTTCTCAACTCCTTATACCTTTTAGCATCTGCTATAAGAACGACCAACATTCTCGTCTCTGCTTCTGAGCATTGACATAATACTACATGTTAGTCAGACCCATGGTGCATGTCTATCTGTGCCCGGCTGGCTTGTATTATTTTTAATTCAATAATGCAAGGCTAAACAATGTTTCCTTATGTGCTGAAATATGGGTGATGAAAATCACTTTGTCATGGACCCAGGAAAAAGGAAAACTTTTTATTTCGTGTGTGGTTTGACAACATCTCTCTACATCTGTCTTCAAGACCCAGTGGATTTGCTTAGTGTCTTTGACATGCTATAAGGTTTCTCAAGCCTCAAATATACGATTTCAAAGAAATTACTTCTCTTAGAAATTTAGGTTTAATTAGCATGCAGTTTAGACTAGGAGAGAAGCTTGATTTAGAAAGAGGAAACCTTGTTTATCTTTCTGGCCTGGGCATGAGATTTGGACTAGGTCACTTAAGCTGTCATCATCACTGACTTTTATGGCTATTGCCAGAATACACAGCCACATAACTAGAGAATAGATGGGGCAACCCTCATATCTTG